TATTGCGCATGTCCAGCCATCGTCTGCCGCATCGCGCCTTATTCGCAGTTGCGGCTCCAGGTTGGAAGAAGCCGTGTGGGGGTCAACAGATGACGCGAAAGCGAAGCATGAAGAAATGCACAGAGCGATTAAGTGTCTCCCGTCTTACAGGTTGGGGTCCGAAATACTCTGCGGCTGGTTGGCTGGAGACATTAAAGGATATGGCAGCTAACCGACAGCAGTGGCGTTCTTGTTGCCATTTCTTAACAAGGCAGAATGCTTGAAAAGGTATGTATGAGAACTTAGATTGTGTACTCTGTGTGCTGAACATAGAAGTTCTTTTTCTTTGTCTCTCCGATTAGGCCCAGTCTCTCCCCATCTTCTTGTTTATCACTTGAATTGTGTATATTGTCAGCGAACGGTGAATTTCGCTTGACTGTATCTCGCTGTATGATGATGATGCTGGCGGNCATGACCCTACACTTTGTCACTTCGAAGCCAAGATACCTTTAGCTGCAAACCGCCCTCTAGAACCCGGATTGTGGCTCGAGCCAACGACAGCTCAGGTTATCATGAATGAGCATTGATATCCTACATTAAGAAATGTAGGGACTCAAGACCCGGAAATTAAACAGGCGAAATATTTGAGTAACCGAAAGGATAGATCTAATATTAAGCTAGCCTACAGTAGACAAAACAATGGGGGCGAGTGGATAGGTAATCTTAGCGGACAAGACAAGACAGTCAAGAACATAAATATTATAATTCTACGAAAGTAACAACAGCTTAAATCAAGATTCTGTATGCGAAGTGAAAAGATAATTGGGTAAAACATGGGTGGAGAGCGAAATGAAAAAGATGAGCTGGGTGAGAATGCAGACCCTGAAATCAATATTTACCTTATTGTATAAACTGATCCTTCTTCTTTGATTTCTTTCACTTCAGGTTTAGGCGGTTGGTATTCTTCGTTGTCTAAACCGAAAATAGTTCATCGAAAATGACTAACCATCATCTGCATTCACGTTATTAGTTTCATTAGAAGGGAGTGATACGGGAGCGGCGAACGGAGAAGAGCTGGGTAAAGAAGTCCCAAATTTGAATAACGGTGCCGATGTTCCTATTGGAGGCAAACTGAATGTGAACGGTTTGGTCGGGACGGTTGGTATTCCCGGGGCGGGCACCGAAGTTTTAGATTCGGAAGTAGAAGTGGCAATGAAGGGAGACGACACAGGAGCAGTAGTTGTATCTTCCTTGTTTGGGCCGTTTTCATTGGAAAATGGGACTTTTTTAGGCTGTGTAATTCCTTCGTCGCCTTTTTTAGATGAATGAGCAGAGAAACTAGGGAATTTTTCGTGCAGGGATTTCAAGTGTTTATCGTAGTCCGAAAAAACAGGAGTCAGGATGCAATAGGGATCTTCTTTTATGTGCCGCCCAATCCAATCGAAAAGATTTTGATTGAGAGTGAGAAGCTGCTTCAGATATTCTGTCTCTTCATTGAGGTCACAGTCCGCTGTTTTATTTACTGTTGAATTAGAGACAGAAACGCTAGAATTCATGACAGAATCAGCGGCTTTGTTTCCAAAGTTGAAGTTGAACGGAGAAGTGACGGGTGTATTCGAAAAACCCGTAAACGATTTGAAGATACCAGACGTCCCAGTTTTCTAGGAAAAATCAATTTTGACAATATAACTCACTGCAGATCGGGAACCGGTGACACTGAGGATTTTCCGTCCAGAAAGAGAATCCTTATCGGCCTTCTGGAACGTTCCGGCC